CGGAGCATGGCCCTGCGGGCGACGCGGCAAGCCGCGCCGCCTAAGGTGCCAGGTGCCCTTGGAATGGCGTCACCCAAATCCAGCCAAAAATTGCTCCCGTTTGTGTATAGTATCAGTGCATAGGTGCATCATTGTTGTCGCTCCGACGCAATGTGTTGTGGTGGTTCCCTCCATTCTGCAGCTGCATGGCACGCCAGCAACCGCCGATTTGGATCGCAAAATCGAAGTTCGAAGTCAACAAGTGGCGATCTTGCCAACTTGCGGCCAGCCAGATCCCGCTCTACCAGCAGCCACAATGGTCGTTGGTGCTCCGATCATCGTCACGCTCGGCGACTCGATCACGCAGAATGGCGCCAACCCCGACATCATGGGTTACCAGGTCATGCTCACGCAGGACTACGTCCGCAAGGCCGACGTAGTGAACCGCGGCTGCAGCGGCTGGACGACCCGGTATTCCCTTGATCGCGTCGCCGCCCTCCTATGCACGTCCTGTGTAGGGACTGGGTGCCCAAGCTCCCGCTCCTCGGGCGCGAGTGGTCGCACAAGCCGCCGTCGCTCATTACAATCTTCCTTGGCGCCAACGACGCCGCGCTCGTGCCCGAGCCGCAGCACGTCCCGCTCGAGACGTACGCCGGCAACCTCAAGATTCTGCTGCAAACGCTTGGTGCAACCTTTCCCGACTGCCGCTTTCTCTTGCTGACGCCGCCGCCGATCGACGACACGCGCATCAAGAGCCGGTCGAACGCCGAGGCTGGCAAGTACGCGGCGGCCTGCGTCGCCGTCGGCGCGGAGCGCAAGGTGCCGGTCGTGGACTTTTGGACGGCGATGCAAAACATGCCGCATCTGCTTTCGGACGGTCTGCACTTTAACCGCGCCGGCAACATTGCGGCCCACGCGCTCATTCTGAGTGCGATCCGGCAGCACTATCCGGCGTTGGCCCCCGAGGCGCTGCCGTCCGAGTTTTAAAAAGCCACGTCGGGCCGAGCTCGGTCGATGATTTGCTGCTCGTTAAAACCCTTTATAAAAAACATCGAAACGGACTGAACATTCCATGAAAGAAGAAGGGACATCACGGAGGTTTAGAATTCATTTTGCTCCACAGCAGCAACCACCACCAACATGCCCAGCTTTGAGGACGACCACGTCGAGTACGGCACGTCGGACGCCGCCGACTACTCAACGTCGCATGGCGCGGTCGAGGCCACCGAGACGAGTAGCGTCACCGCCGTGCACGCTGCCAAGGCGCCGACGCCCAAGATCGCCCCGCTCTTTGTTCTCAACTACATTGTGTAAAGCCAAGTGAGGCGTGCTGACGATGCCGGCTTTGCGTAAGGCCGACTGAATCGACTTGATTTTTATTTGATTCTCGAAGTGTCCACTCGCCGTGTTGACGCACGTTGGTGCATCCTGCACGCCTTCTCGCAGCACGAGGGACATGTGTGTGGGTCGTAGTAAAAATTGTGTCGTAGTACGCCGGTGGTGGGCCGTGGTTTTGTTCAAGAGTGCCGCCTGTCCGTCTCTGGTGGTGCGTCAACAACGGTCGACCTCGCGCCCGAGAAGCGACGCCAAAGACAAGGGACTATGAACTCTCGACAGAGATGTGCTTCCTTCTCCTCGAGAGCATTGCGCAAGCATCGTCGTCTGATCCTTCGTTGCTCTTGTGACCCAGCTGCAACGGCACGAGACAACCAATACGTGGCAGGCCACCGACGCAGCACGACGTCCGAACCAGATGCAGCAAAGAATCCGATGGATACCAAGAAGGACCATTTGCGCAGGGTCGGACGTCAACATGCACCAACGACTACACGCACCAAGGGCCACGCACGTCATAGCGTGGTGCTGTGCTTGCGAATCGCTGCGGCGCCACACGCTGTTGTAGAGTAGACAAAGGCATTGTTAGATAATGTAGTTGACGAGCAGCATGGACTGGCAGGCTTCGTCTTCGTCGTGCGTCAGCGGCGACGTCACCGGCTTGGTCGTCGACCGCTCGGGCTGGGGCGGGGTAAACGTCATCGGCGCCGTGTGCTGGTGGTCGTCCTGGAGGAGAATCGGCATGGTTGTGGCTCGGAGGTAAATTGCAAAGTGATGCTCCAAGTGGTTTGAACCGTCGCAATAAGATCGTAGAAAATCGCAAAACTGATCGGCGTTGCGCAACTGCTGATTTTCTTCCGACAGCCCCAAGTTGATGGCAGCTCCCAATCCTGCCTCTACTATCACTCTGTACGATGGCTTTCTCTCATGCATTCAAGCACGCTTTGAATCTCGAGCGCGATACTGCACGCCCATGCCTCGAGCTATACAACGCAGCTCAAGTGCAAAGTCGGAAGAGTCAAGTGCAATCTGAGAGCGCACATGGAAGTTCCGGCACGTGGCGGCTTGATGGCAACCGACCATCATGACATGGCGACTCCAACATCGATTTTGAAAGGAAAACAAAGTCAAGGGATTGATTGTGACAGAACGCACCAATCACCGCGCGTCGCGACAGAGCTGAGAGTCGCCAACTTACCGCCGACGGAAAACTCTTGTGATGCTGCGCTATGGCCGCGCCCCGCCCTACCGCGCCCCGACGTGGACGCGCATGGCTTTTTTTGGCTGCCAAGCTTGTGCCCACCGGTGGCGCTCAGCCCGCGGCGAAGCTGGCGTCTACCAAAAGTGCAAGCACTGCTTCGAACCCTGTTACCCGACCGAGTTTCGCCTCGTCGCGCCGAATAAGGACGGCAACATGAACAAGGAGACGGCCATTGGGCACAACATGGAGCTCTGTGGCAAGTGCGACGAGCTCGGGTACTCGTGCCAATACGCACTCGACGACAGTGACGAGGACGAGGACACGACTGAAGCGATTCAAGCTGGCAGCGTTGAGTGGGAAGAAGCGTTCGAGCACGAGCTCACGGCGGCGACCACGCCAACGCCGGCCGTCAAGTTTAAGGTGCGCCCCGAGAAGCGCCTGTCCCAGAAAGAGCGCCGTAAGCTCGCCAAGGAGCAGGAAGCCGCGTTGCGCGCGCAACTGGCAGCTCAATTGGCGGCGGCGGATGACGACATCGCGTAGCTAAGCCAACCCGCAACACGAGATACTTCTGGGCATGACGGTACTTTCTTGGAGCTACTACAAGTAGCACCTAGCAACGAATGGAGCCGCGTGTCGAGGATGGGCTGATGATCGACCATGCAGCGTTCGGACATGTGGCAGACGAGCTGCGTGCATGCATAGGTGATATCAACGTCCTTGGTGCTTGAGAGGCTTGCGAGACAGGCGCCAAACGAGGCAATGATAGAAACCCAACGTCGTTTCAGCGCGGACGAGGTTGCCGTCGATGCAGCGATGGTTCACCGTACCTACAGAACGTGTGGCGTGCTTGATGACTTGCACGAGCTGCCCATTGGAGTGCTATCAGCTCGTGTGCAGTAAACGGTGTCGTACGTCAAA